GCAGTGTTGTAGGATCAGCACTGGACTGCGAACCACAAAGTCAGAAGTTCAAACCCACCTCGGAAATTCTATATAGACTTGCTATGAGCCGGAACTGACTCCACGGCACTTAACAACAATGCTAGGAAGGCGCTTTAGTCCTTATGATTTTCCTGCCTCTCCTTGCTCCACATACCACCCTTAACTGCCCTGACGCATGTGGAGCTTGTATACCCCATGATGTAAAAAGACCCAAGCTCATCCAGTTGACATTGGAAACAGCTGTGTTTTTCACCCTTGGTAAGTAATTTTACTTGTCAGTAAATCATCTATTTTCTTTTTCAGAATAGACAATGTCTCTCAGATTGGGTCCTGGTTGTTATGTTGGCCTCTCAGAATTTACGGACACGAAAGGCTTTTCCCTTCTGGGCCTAAACCCTAACATATTACATTTCCTTTTTGAGGGGTACAATTCTCAGAACGGCGATATGAACAGAGCTGGGAGGAAGTGATACTAAAAATGGGGTTTCGCATCCTGGTTCTGCTCTCCAAATTGGTTTATCCAGAAGGTTCCTTGTTTTCTAGGTTGAAAATTGCACGTCCACATTCTCCATAAACTTGGTGGTGGTGGTGCTTTTGAATCTATTTTTGATTCATAACAACCCCCTGTGTGAGAGTAGAAACACCCCAATGCACCATAGAGTTTCTATTTTTTTTTAAATATTTTATTCTGAGTTTAGTGACAGGCTACATAGCAAATTCGTTTTCCAATTAGTAATCCACAGACAGATTGCTTCATAACATTGTTTTCAATTCCTTCTGTTTCTTCCCTAGATTTCCCCATAGGGTTTTCTAGGCTGTAAATTCACCAGATGCTTCTCCCAAAGAGTTGCTTGGTGGGCTCAAACCGACAACCTTTTTGCTTAGCAGCCAAGTGTCTCACCACTGTACCCCCTTAATCTTTAGCTCACTTTGATGTAGACTCTCTAAGGCTTAGTTCACGTAGTAGCTTTGATGTAACTCAACCCTGACATAAATTGTTGTAATGTAATCATGATTTACCGGAGACTCTAGCGCCTTGTGACAGCTAGAGGAATAGATAAATGTACTGCCTATATGTTTATCTCGGTTCCAATAACCAGCCTCATCTTCCTTCTCGTCCTGGGAAGAAAAAGTGAAGTTATGGGGAGATCAAAGTACATCACAGAGAAGTTGTAAATACCCAACAAGAGATAACTCCGGGAGTTCACTGGCTACCTGGAATTTATTTTGCCTTTAAAAACCTCTGGGGAAGGGGAGGGAGGGGGACAGACCCTTGTTGGCACTTAGGCGTAAGTGCATCTGTCTCCGTGGATGCACTGAATAAAGGTTTGTCATTAAGGTCTCTGAGCCTCTGAGTGCATTTTCTTGAACTATGGTCTAACAGTTGCACAAGAGAAAAAAAATCTCCCATTATCAAGATTTACAGCCTCAGAAACCCTATACAGGGTCGCTATGAGTCAGAACTGACTACAGGTTACACCGCCACCACCAGTCAAGCCTGGTCTTATAACGCCCACAAAATGAATGGATGGGACTATGTAAATTAGGTATAGGGGTGGGGTGGGTCCAATAGGCTTCTTATGCAAATAAAGCACATGGAATACTTGTGGGGGTGGCTAATGCAAATAAAGTGCTGAGCCTTTTCAAAGAAGGTATTCATTTCACCTTGCAGACCATCTCTATTGGAGAAGCAGATACTTTTGATATTTCAGCTTGTTGTGTTTCAACACATAGCAACTCTGTAACAGCAAAACTGCTTCATAGGGTTTCCTAGGCTGTCATCTTGACAGGAGAACACCAGATCTTTCTTCCGCAGTGTCATTAATTTTCAAAGCTGGTGTGGGAGCCAGTCGAGTTTACTTTCCCACTGTCCCTGTGGTGTTGAGGGTCCACACCATTTTTTCCAGGAACTTTGTGAAACTCCCTCATGTCTACTCCCATAGAAATCTACAGTCTTGGAACCCTATGAATCTGAATTGGCTTGTTGGCAGTGAGTTTGATTTGGGGGTTGTAATAAACGAACTCAATGGCACTCAACCATAACAACAGTATAAGAGCAAACTATTCGCCATTTTAACATGTACAATTCACTGACATTAATTACGACATAGTCGTATTGTATGACCATTGTCACGTTAGTTTCCATATTTATCCATTGCCCTCGATAGAAGCCTCCCGCAGTGTCTCCTCCTTCCTTCTCCCTCCCACCCCTCATCGTGGTTGGGATTTGCACTTCCCTTCGTCTCTCATACTTAGAACATAGTGTCTGAAGAAGGACATCATGCTTTGTAAAGTGGAGGGTCAGTGAAAACAAGGAAGACCTCCAATGAGCTGGATTGGCACAGTGGCAGCATCAATGGGCTCATACCTAACAATTAGGAAGATGGCATTTGTTGTTGTTGTTAAGTGCCATCGAGTCGGTTCCGACCCATAGCGACCCTGAACAGGGTTTCCGAGGCTATAAATCTTTATGGGAGTAGAAAGCCTCATCTTTCTCCCGCAGGAAAATGACATAGGACGGGACATTGTTTTGTTCCGTGGTGCACAGGGCTGCTCTCAGTTTGAACCGACTGGAGTCCGCCTATCAACAACAAGATGAGAAATGACATGGAATGGGTTTTGGTGTTAGGAGTTTGATGTCTACAAGGGGTATCTGCTCCAGTTGTTGGTTTCTGTGCCTGGGGAGAGAGACAGGGAAGTAGAGAGCTGCTTGCCCTCTGCTCTCCAAGACCACAGCCAAGTGGAGGAGTCAGATGTGGGTAGTAAGCAGCCCTCTTAGTGTGTACAACCTTTAGAGGCAGACCTAGGGAGGCTGGCTTCCCCGTATGGGAGATCTGGTCCTGTAGTATGTGACCTGCATTCGCTCTGCTCCTTGAATCAACCGCCTCCCCTGGTTTGCTCTGTTCCGTGTGTTTTCTGGAGAGGGGGTCTCCTCGTTTTCAGGTGGCCTGTGGCTTCTAGACCAGCTCTGGGGACTCCTGTAGGCACCCGGAGAGCAATCACTGAGAGGTGCTATTGCCAGTCTTATCTCCTCCTTCTCCCACTGCTGACCATGCTGTGACTCCACGTGGCCCCTGGCTCTCCGATTTTTCATTCAAGGCTCTGGCTGGAGGTGGGCGGCCATCTGGTCGGGCTCCATCTTCTTGGGAAACTCGAACGACCTGGGCCAGGGTCAGCCATGTCCTTTCCAAGTGCCCACTCATAACTGCCTCCCGCCGCTTCTGTGAGTCCAGGTTTATCCTCCAGCCCAACTGCATCACTGTCCTTGTCCCCATAGTCCACATGGTCTAGGGGTAGTCTGCGCTGGGGTGTTGCCTCTACAGGCGTATAAAGAGCTTGCCGGGGCAGTGGTCTGAGCAACTCTTGCCCACCTCTGCTCACCGGGACAGATGCTAGTTCACAAACCCACAGATCGCTGCGCCCAGGGCAGAGACTTTATTTTTCGCCCCTGTTTGTGAGACACCAAAATGAGCCCGCCGGTGTGAGAAGGGGATTAGAAGGGAGAAAACGGGATTCGAGGGAAACTCTCTTTGCTCTGGACTGGGGGTCCCACAGTGCAGTGGAGTCAGGCTGTGAAGGATGATAGCCCCTCACTGGGGTTGGGAGCTGGCATATCCCCAGTGAGGCTGGACTAAGGTGTCTGTCTGCAGTGTGATTGGTGGTCTGTGGCCCAGGCATTTTCTGATGTAGCCACTGGCAGAGGTGAAGCAGGGCCTGTCCCCTCCATCCCACACAGGACAGAGGTCCCAGTTGTTAGAACATTCTGAGTCTCATAATGTTTGCCAGGGTCGGCACCCCCCCCCCCCATTATTTGCCCCCGAGGACCTGGGACATTCATGTGCTTTTGTGTCTGGGTGACAAAGAAAAAAATAATAAAGTCAGCCTTCAGTCCTTGATTGAAAATCCATCCGATCATAGTTGTGTGTGTATATGTGTTGTGTGTACATGGTGTGTTTGTGTGTGGTATAGTATATGTGTGTTGTGTGTTAAGAATGTTTGTTGTGTATGTTGTGTGTGGTTGTGCTGTGTATACATGTTGGTGTGCATGTTGTGTTGTTATGTGTGGTTGTGTTCTGTTGCATGTTGTATTGTTGTATTGTGTGGTGTGTATACATTGTGTTGTGTAGATGTTGCATGTATATGATGTATGTTAGGTGTGTGGTATGTGTGTGACAGGTGTTGTATTGTGTGCATGTGTTGTGTGCTGTTGTGCATATTGAGTGTGTGTTGTGTCATGTGTGTTGTGATGTGGTGTACGTGTGCTACGTGTGTGCTGTTTATGTTGTGTTATGTTGGGTTGTATGGTGTGTGAGGTGTGTGTGCTGTATGTTGTATGTAGTTTTGTTGTATGTGTGCTATGTGTTGTGTGTGTGTATGTTGTGTGTGGTGTGTGTGTTGGGCTGTGGTATGTATGCTATGTGTGGCTGCATGTTGTTGCATGGTGTGTGTTGCCTATATATTTTATGTGTATGTTGTATTATGTTGTGTATGCTGTGCTGTGTTGTGTTGTATATGTATTGTGTGTGGTTGTATGTTGTGCAATGCTGTGTGCGGTGTGTATTTTATTGTATGTGTATGTGTTGTATTATGTGGTATGTGTGTGATGTGTATGCTGTGTGTTGAGTGTGTTGTGTTGTGTGTGTGGTGTGTATGTTGTGTGGGTTGTGTATGTTGTATTGTGTGCGTGGTATGTGTGCTGTGTGTTGAGTGTGTTGTGTATGTTGTAGTGTATGTATGTGTTAATTTAGATACACAAAACATCAAAGACCCAGAAACTCAGAAAATCAGGCTAAATTCTTCAGTCTTTTCAAGACTGAAGTTCTCGAAATCATTGTGACTATTTCTGAAAGAGATGTTTACTAAAGAGAGAAGATGCAGAGATGGACAAGATGTGAGGGACTCCCGCTCCACACACCATATTCCGGGGAAGTAGATGAGAGTCCCATAGCACATCTCTCAGATCCCATTACCTGAGGCACCTACGGATGACCCAGAGGAGGCACAAGGGACTCCCCAGCTGTCACTGGCCCAAGAGGGCCACCCAGGACCCTGGGACTTGCTCCTGAGGGTGTGGCCAGGATGTCCTGCCCCTCCGCCCAGAGTTTGACGTGTTTCTTCCTCCTCATGCCCATCTCTTCAGGGGCCTGCGCCTTCGGGCTGACGGGACTTTCACAGGCACTCGGCTTGGGTGCAGCTTGTCCTTTCCGGAAGGCCCGGAGTTGCTGGAGCAGCTGACTCTTTCCGGTGCAGCCTCTGTGAGAATGAAAACACCCCCATCACTCTTAGCATCACTGCTAGAGGCACAACTCCAACATCGGGAAGGAAAACAAGGACTCAGGCGACCTTGGCCACCACTGGACCCCAGCTGGAAAGCAGGTGTCAGATGAGTGATGATAGTGGACTGTCCTACTCTGTGCTTACCATGTGGGGCAGCATGTCTAGCTCCCTCAAACAACTCCTTGGGCACCCCCCCACCCCCCAGCTTGAAAGACAATGAGAACAATCGCTAGCCCTGCCTCATCTTCACGGTTAAGGCTCTGGTCGTGGTTAAACCAACTGCTGGAAAATCATAGGAAGAATATGCAGACCAGAGAGTTTCCTGCTGAAGGAGTCTCCTAACAGAGTTGGGTCAATTTCCCAGTCAGCATGCAGGGAACCTTGGGGTCACATCAAAGCTGTCCTATTCCCTGATGCTTCCCAGGTGCCAGACCTGCGGGATTCACCATGTGAATCCTCCAAGGAAGGGCTTACAGGAGGTCGCCTCGTAGGAAGAGGAGGGACCTAGGAGTTGACGGGCATGCCAAGGGAAGGGACTGAGCTGTCCCATGATTCTTAGGCCAGGAAAGTAGCATTCCCTATCAGACCCACTGACCCCAGCTCGGCAGCCCTGAGAAACACCAGCCTTGCCACAGGGTGGCACTGAGTATAGGAAAAAGACATTTGGGTGGCCTGTCACTAGACGGAGTACAGAACAAAACCCCTGAGTGTTTGCAGAATGCCCTTTGACCCTCAAGATGCTAAACAAAAAGAGATGGTTATGCCCCTCAGTCAGATACCCATTAATTGGCTTGTCTGAAAGCTGATGGATTTGACATGTCTCACCCCAACGTGCCAAAAGAACAAACCAATATGTATTGGAAGAAGTACAGCCCTCTAGAGTGTTCCTTAGAAGCCAGGATGGTCAGACTTCAACTCCAATACTTCAGACATGGTATCAGCAGAGACTAGTCCTTGGAAAAGTGGATGGTCAGTGAAAAAGAGGAAGACCTTCCAACAAGATGGACGGGCACAGTAGCATCCCAATGGGCTCAAGCTTAACAATGATTGTGAGGTTGGCGCAGGACAGGGCAGGGTTTTCTTCTGTTGTGCACAGGGTCGCTATGAGTGGGAACTGACTCAACAGCACCTAGAAAAGACACCCCAACTTCTTCTCCCCTTTTTCATCTGATGACTGTTTGTATGTATGTCATGTTAGGGGACATACCCAGAGGGTCAGCTCTGTAAGCTTTGCTGTGACAAACACCAGGCCCCTCAACCTGAGCCTCCCTGGCTTGAATCCACCCAGACCTCTTCATTTCTGGCTGACAGCGGTCGCTTAATCCCTCCCTCACACGCGCTCCTCCATTGCCACATGAGCAAGGAGCAAGGTCCATGTACAGGGCACCCTGGTGGCACTCAGGGTTAAGCCTGGAGCTACTAAGCATTGGGTCACTGGTTCAAACCCACCAGACACTCTTTGGAAGAACAATGAGGCTATCTGTTCCTGTAAAGATTTCGTCTCTGTTGTACTACACAGAGTTGGAAAGCCAGTGCCTGATTTTCTGAGGATGGTGGTTATGAAGGATTATAGGTCTTTGTAATATGTATAACCTTCCTTTTAGGAGAAAGAAAACAAAACCATTTTTTTCAAAAGATCTACAACCTCAGAAATCTGACAAAGGATCGCTATGAATTCAGAACCGTCTGGATAACAGTGGCGTTGATTTTTGTTTGTTTCTGAAAGACAGTGTGCTGACCTTATCTTCAGAGCAAATTAGGGATCCCCCCAAGTGGGCTCCCCCTATGAGTTCTTGCCCCCACCTGCCCCACCATGCTGGCCCCTCGGATGTGGGATTCCCATATGAAGACTGATGTTACACACACCAGGGTGAGGACAGACTGGCACAGGGGCAGCACTAGGGGCCCAGCCTGGTGCCCTCAGGACCCCTTTGTGGTTACCGGAGCCGCTGGGAGGGGTGAGGCACCCCCTCAGCCGAGTCTTGCTGCTGGTCTCTTGCAATCACAGTATCCTCCTCACTGTCAGAGGAGCTGTGGCTGGAACTGGGGGAGGAAACATGGGTTCAATCGGTCCATCCAGCCAGGCCTGGCTTCCCCCGCCCAGGGGCATGAAGGAAACCACTGTGTGCCCACCAAACGAGGCTGGCTCAGATCCCGGCCTGCTGAAGGTATCCTCTGTGCTGGTGGGATGGTCGGCCTGGTTTCTGTCTAAAGCCCATCTTAACTGAATTCCCCAAAGACTCTCCCCACCCATGTCACCCCCAGGGACCGCCAGAGATGCACGAGTCCAGCACGCGGGTGTACCTGGGTGGGGATGGGGGATCTGGTGGCCTGGTCTGCCGAAGATCGATGAAGACAGTGGGTGGCTCCGCTGGGCCCTTCAGCCTCCTGCCCCCAGTGGGCTCCTGGTCCTGAGCGGCCTGCAAGCCTAGCTTTGTGGAGGCACGTCTGTGGTGAGGAAACAGAGTCAGATCTTCCCTTCTCTGGGGTAACCCTGTGACCGGGCTCCAGTATGTGCCGGCGATAGATCAGTGCTCATACCCCGCATGGGCCCTTTCATGCTTCAGAACCACCCTTGGGATGATGTAGACCCATGCTATCTGGTAGAACCTTCTGTACTGATGAAAGTGTTCTGTGTCTGCTTTCTGAGTTGATAGCTAAGCTGTAAAGTGACACCAAGAAAATATAGAATTCGGTTCCTGGCTTTCACTAGCCACGTTTCGAGTGCTCAGTAGCCCCATGGGGCAGAAGGTTCCCAGGTGGATACTTTCAGCTGCCAGTGATAAAGGCATGAAGCTGAACTCATGGGCTCTTAGATTCCTAGGAAGGGTGGAACAACCAAGGTGAGAGAAAGATGAGGGAGCGCAGGGCTGAGGGGACCCAGCACCCTGTCTGCACCTCTCCCCACAGCCTGCCTTTCTCCATGTGGCAGGACACATGGCTGCAGACTGCCCTTCCACCCTCTCAGAGGTGGTGGTGGTGGTGATGTGCTGTGGAGTTGGTTCTGACTCATAGCGACCCTGTAGGCTGCCAATCTTTACGGGAGCAGAAAGCCTCATTTTTCTCCCACAGAACGGCTGGTAGTTTCAAACTGATGACCTTGAGGTTAGCAGCCCAATTCATAACCAGAGCTCCTTGGTCTTCCTTGTTGATAGAAATAGAAAATTCCCAGGAAAGGATTCTGATTGGCCTAGCTGAGATCAAATTCCATGGCTGGGCCAATCAACTGTGGCCAGAGGGCAGGGTCCTGTGGTACCCTGTCTCCTCCTAGGAAGCTGTATATGAAGTGACAGGGAGGTTTCCCATAGGGTTTGGGCAAAGAGCAAGTACTCTGAGGCTGGGGTCCGAGCTCTGCCACTTAGGGCCTGGGCAGGCCACTCTCTCTGAGCTTCAGGCTCCTTGTCTGTAAAATGGATGTAACAGAAACACCTATCTAATCAAATTGTTTGATATTAAATGAGAAGATGCACATCCATATAACCAAAAACACACACACACATACAAATGAATCCATTCCAGCTCACAGTAACCCTATAGAACAGAGTAGAACTGCTCCTTATGGTTTAAAAGACTGTAAATTTTTAAGGGAACAGACAACTTCATCTTTCTTCCTCAGAATGCTGGTGGATTTGAATCACTGACCTTGCAGTTATCAACCCAACCCGGAAACCAAAATGGCTCCTTCTCTGCCCACGGTAGACTCAGCAAACGCTGCTGATCATGGTCCTTTCTGAAGACTAAGGAATGGCCAGCAGGAAGTCCCACCTGTGACAAGTCTCCCCATTCTCAGTGTCCTGGGGTCTGTTCAAAGGAAACTTCCAGACAGAGGACCAGGACCTGGCCTGGGTGGCACACTGGAGGGCAAGCTGTTCCATGAGCTGGTCATCAATGGAAGGTACAATGGGATCTGTGGAATGCCAAAGGAGAAGGGCACTTAGAGAGACTCAGGTTCCAAACAACCCCAGCCTCAGGACACATCAGTCTCCATGTATGGGTGTCTCTCAGCTCATCCACTGTGGACAAGCCAGAGACCCTCCACCCTAACCCTCCCTTCTACTCATAACCCTCAGCGGGGCCCATTGGAACGTGAGCTCAAAGAGTAGGGTGTGTAAGTTCTTAGAAGTTGGGGTGCCAGCTAAGTCAATTCTGACTCACAGCATCCCCATGTGACAGAGGAGAACTGCCCCACAGGGTCTCCTAGGCTGTTACCATAATGGGAGCAGATCGCCAGGTCTTTATGAGTGGGTTCAGACCACCTACCTTTGGTTTATCAGCTTTTGAAGCAGGACTGACTTACAACCAATTAGCTCAAGTCTAGTGTCAAAAGTGGGTAGTTTTCAGTTTCTCACAATTGTCAGCAATGCTGCAGTGGATACCCTCAAATACACATCTTTCCCCACTAGGGTGAAAGCGTGTGTTCAGGACATAGTCTAGAAGTGGAATAGCTCAACCAAAGGGCTATGTGCCTTTAAACTAGAGAATGTTGTTGTTGTTGTTAGGTGCCATCGAGTTGGTACTGACTCATAGCGACCTTATACACAGCAGAACGAAACACTGCCTGATCCTGGGCTGAAAGCAGAGAATACCAGAAAGATGTTTACCTGTGCTTTATTGACTACGCCAAGGCTTTCGATTGTGTGGATCATGACAAGCTATGGACAACATTGTGAAGTATGACTATTTCTGAACACTTAATTGTGCTCATGAAGAATCTTTACATGGACCAAGAGGCAGTTGTTCGAACAGAACATGGGACCACTGAATGGTTTAAAATTAAGGAAGGTGTGCGACAGTGTTGTATTCTTTCACCACACTTATAAAATAGAAAACAGATTCAGTCAAATTCCTTTACAATGCAGGTGCCAGTGACGGTGCCATAAGCAGGGACAAAAAGCAGGATCAGAAAAGAGAAGCAGGGTGGACTTTCCCTGGGAAACAGAGGGGGCAGAAGTTACAGCTGAGATCAAAAGGACAGCATCTGCCCAAGGACAAAGTTCAGAAGGCAGGAAGGGGTAGGAAAGGAGGAGGAAGGAAATGGGAAACAAAGGAAGAAGTGGGATGTGTGCTGTGCATTGTGGGGATTGCAAACAATGACATGAAACAAAATGTGTATAGATTGCTGAATGGAAAACTGATCTGCTCTGTAAGCCTTTCTTCCAACCCAACCCAAAGCCCCCAAATCTATGGACACCGAGTTAATTCCAACTCATAGTGACCCTATATAGGGTTTCTGAGGCTATAAATCTTTATAGGAGCAGAAAGCAAAATATTTCGATCAATTTATCATTTTAAAAGTCAAAGAAGGAAAAGAAGGGCACAGAGAGGGGAGGAAGACCAGAGACAGGGAGGAGGGGAAGGTGTGGGTTTAGGGCAGGGGGCTTCAGTGGGATCTAGGGTTTAAGTTCAGACCTGGGCCTTGGCAGCAGTCAGCTGCCCTCCACGTCTCCCCACCAGGCACGTCGTCTCCCTGGTCCTCTAGTGCCTTCAGATTCTGAAGGATGTTGTCTAAATCCCACTCTTCAAGTTGCTGAAATGATTAAACCTGTAGTTACAAACTGCTGGCGGGGGTGGGGTGTGTGCGTGTGATCGTTGGCTGGTTTATGGTGATAGCTTCACTGCCCAGTGGGACATGGACCAATTTTCTATCTAATGTATTGATTTTACGCCTTGTTCCCTTCTCCCCACTAACTTCCAGAATCCCCACCCAAAAACCAAACACCGCTGTGGAGTCGATTCTGACTCACAGTGACCCGTCTGGACAGACTGTGTAGGCTGTGGCGCTGTAGGACACTGCGCAGAGGACTGCAAGTTGGGGTTTGAATAGCAAGGTCGGCAGTTCAAACTCACCAGCCACTCCTGGGAAACTCTATACAGGGGTCACTATAAGTCGGAACCAACTCAACAGCACTTATAACAACTCTTTGTGGGTGCAGACTGCCTTATCTTTCTTCTGAGGAGCAGCTGGTGGATTTGAACTGCTGATGGTTAGCAGTCCAGTACCTAACCACAGTGCCACCAGGGTTACCTACCAAACCCCAGCCATTTACTCTCTTGGAACCAGCTTGTCAACTAAACACCCATCCACAGGCACTACTGTCTGTGGGAGGACGGGAACGTTACCATCTTTTTGTAGTTGGTATTGAAAATCTACATATATAACAGAACATGCACTAACTGAACAGCGCCTGCGTGCACCACGTCCACTGTCCAGACAAGGATGCCATTCTTGGAGTAGTCCAACCATTTCCACCCTCCTATTCTGAGTGGCTCCTCCCCCACTGACACCAACTCACTGGGATGTTAATGTTTTGAGAAATACACTTTGACAAAATCTTGGTCTATTATTTTCTCTATGGTTGCACAGGCTGACCTTGGAGATATTGCAGACTTGGCTCCAGGCTGCCGCCATGAAGCAAAGGATGTGATCCAGTGGACCTCATGAAAGTTTTGGTTTTTCAGTGTGTCTAAGTTACATTTACACTAAAGAGTTACAGTTTCGGAAACACTGAGGCAGTGGGTGGGGTGAGCAGGCTCAAGTGTACAATCACACAGTGAAGAAAAGTTTGGAAAATTGTGACAGAGACCCACATGTGACACAGAGGCACACAGTGAGTACTGGCTGTTGGCAAGATGGTGCCGACAGACTCGCTCGAAATAGGGTGGCCTTGAACCTTCACTCTGTAAAAAAAAAAAAATGCAGCTTCTGCGAAATGTATTTATAAACGTGTTTGGAATTTGCAGTCAGTCACTGGTTTCCTGTTTGAAAGGAAACTGGGACCACCTCCTGGCCCTGCTCCCCCTCGATGACTTGCCCTGGGGAGGGTCTGCTGGGACCACACTGCCATGGGATGGTAAGCTCCAGGGAAACTAGACCAGGGGCACATGGAGCAGGGCCGCCCCAGGAGACACTACCTGAAGGGAGAGCAGCGGTGGACCGGCCCTAGGTCCCCCTAGGAATCTGTCAGGTCTTGGAGCCGATCTGGCATCTTTTCGGGGTGTCGCCTTTGCAGGTGTGTGGTCACCGCAGGCTGCATCCTGGCTCTCCTGGGTCACTTTATGGAGAATGTCTCTCTCTAGCATCAACTGTTTCTCCAGCTGCAGGGCTCTGAGCCCCCCAGGAGCAGGGTCCCTGTGAGGCAGTGGGGTTGCACTCGGAGCCTCCGTGGTTAGGGAGGTGGGGGTGACTCCCTGCACACCCCCTGGAGAGTTCTGGGGCCACGTGGTGCCGAAGGAGACACTCTCAGTGTTGTCTTTCTGGTGCTGGGGGCTGTCAGGAAGGAGTCTAGGAAGAGTGCAGGGCTCACCTGGGCTCTGGAAAGGCCTTTGGGGGTCGCCTCCTTCCTGAGCTCTGGCCTTCTGCTCACTCCCAGGTTCTGAGGTGAATTCCACAGATACCAGAGCTGACTGCAGGGAGAAACAGGTCCATGCTTACCAACAAACAAAACCAGATCCAAAGCCATTTAACTCCTAGTGGCCGCAGGACAGAAGAGAACTGTCATAAGGTTTCGGAAGCAGTCGGTCTTTATGGGAACAAACTGCCTCATCTTTCTCCTGAGGAGCAGCTGGTGGGTTTGAACCTGTAACCTTCTGGTTAACAGTCTGACACTTAACCCACTGCACCACCAGGGCTCTTGGGTGCATGTTGAGCCGCTAAGCATCCTCCAAACATAACGTGCTTTTGTTAAAATGTTGTTGAGTAGATTCTGACTCATATCAACCTGGTATAGGGTTTCCAAGGCTGCAAATTTTTGCAGGAACAGAAAGCCTCATCTTTGTCCCTCGGAGTGGAACATGGATAGTTTTATTATTAACCTTAGGGAAGGATCTTTATGTGTACCAGAGAGAGAGAGAGCGCACATGTGTGTGTGCGGTGGGGGTGTGGGTGGGGAGTAAGAAGGGTGGTCCTGGCACAGAACTGCCCTGAGCACTTCTGTGGTCCCACCTCAGCCTCAGCGGCACCAAAGATCTACCCTGAGGTGAACCATCAGGCATCATCGCGTTTCAGAGACATGCCGCCTTCACGCATGGCTTGAATCTACACAGTGCTATGGGGGTGTTGGTAGCAGAGTTCCCACTTCCTGGACAGCCTTTGCCTGACTGTCAGTGGAGGCTTGGGGGCTGCTGGGCTGCTGAACCGGTTCCAGCAGAGCGTCCAAACTAAAACAGACCAGGAAGAAAGGCCTGGTGATCTGCTTCCAGAAATCTGCCAGTGGAACAGTCAACGAGTCATCATGAGGGCGGTGCAGGCAGGACAGGGCAGCATTGCTTTCTGCTGTACCATGAGTCAGGGGCTAGCTAATTCACTAACAACCAACACATTGGGCATTTCCCACTAAGACGTGTGCTCATATATGATGCCAGCTAGCTTAAAGAATCCCTGTGCCTTGAGGTCAGTAACAAATTCCAGTGAGTCAGTAAGGATACCTGGAGATTCTCAGATAAAAAACAAAAACAAAAAACAAGTCCATAAATATTTATTTATGATTCACAAGGTCTACTATTCTGCTTCATTGCCCTGAAAAGATAACTGAAGCATTCACCTCATCCCATGCTGAACAAGAGAACCCATCATCTGTGCCAAGATCTATTTTACAGAAAAGCTGGTCCCCTCCCCCTCCCCTGCCATGGCCAAAGACCAAAGATACTATAAGAATGAGGATATTGTGCACTTCGGCTCATCTTCAGACCATCCCATAATAAGTGTTGCCAAGAATCCCAGACACCCTTCCTGCTGGTTCCATCATGAAATGAGCTGGGCTGGTAACTACAAGGTCAGCAGTTCGAATCTACCACCTGTTCCACAGAAGAAGGATGAGGCTTTCTGCTCACATAAGATGTCCAGCCTCAGAAAGCCTATACCAGGTTGCTGAGTCAGAACTGATTCTACAGCACACCATCACCACTACTAGACGGCTTAGGGTGTGTGGTAAAAACCAGGATGGCATGGTGAGATGGGGTAGTGAGTGTGTGTGTGGGGAGGGCACAACAGGGCAAGCAGGGGCAGAATCAGACAGAAAGTCAAGCCCCCGAGGAGCCCTAAGCGCTGCCGGAATGGCATGGTGTATGTTTGCATGTAGACACTGGAAAGGGGCTTGGACAGACGTCAGGAAGGACTCTAACACATGGCGCCCTCCTGTGCCTCTGAACAGAACTGCACTCCATAGGGTTTTCAATGGCTGATTTTTCAGAAATCACCAGGCTTTTCTTCCACGGCACCCCTGGGTAAACTCGAACATCCAACTTTTATTAATTTATTTTTTTGAGATGTGTTTCTTTCTTTTTAAAATTGTGATCTGGGTGAACATTTGCAGAGCATATTGGTTTCCTAGTCAACAATTTACACACATTTTGATTGACAACATAGATTACAATCTTCCCACTTCTTGCCTGTGTTTCACATTTCCATTTGTCTTTCTTTCCTAACCCTTCTTGCCATCTGAGCTGCAACTGGACGAATGCTCCTCTGTTGATCGGTTGTAAGGACTGTGTAATGCCCCAGTATTAAGGTTGACTTTATAGGGCTGTCTGGTGTTTGCCTGAGAGTGGAATCATGGGGTTGAGTTCAGTTCCAGGCTCGGAGGCTCCACCAGTCTCTAGGAGACCAGTAAGTCTGGCTATTTTTCTGACTTTGAGTGTTGTTGAGCCTCCAACCTTCCGGTTAGCAACCACAGGTATAAACTCTGTATTCACCCAGGGGAGATACCAGACCTGTGCTTCAAATCACGTCAGATCCAAACCCCTTCTACACTCTCACGGGAGCCATGGAGATCCCCACACACATACATGTATACACGTGCCCACAGAGTGCTGGGCATGGTGAAGTCCACAGACCTCAGGAGGAGACTTGTTGGCTGTAGCCACCCAGCTCCCAGGCACATCATTGTAGGCAGGGTCCTCAGCGAGCTCCTCAGACAGGTCAGGAATGAGGGCCATTTGATCTCGCTGGAAGATGAACAGCTCCTCCTCCTCACAGTCCGACTATGGAGACACAAAAAACACACACACAACAGACGGAGGCTCAAGGGCTTTTGAATTCAGGCTTACTTCATTTTACTGTGTTTCACAGATGCTGTGCTCTTTGGAGAGGAGGAAACAAACAGCAGTGCCCTGATCAAAGATGGTGGCCGGCTTGCTGCTCTTAAAGCATGCTGCTCTGCCGGTCATCCTGTCTCCTATGTCACGGCCCTGAAACTCTCAGAAGGAAGGGCTGTGGCAGGATGTTTGGAGAGCAACATTGTTGGCAGGACTCTGGAGAGCAGCACACATTCAGAGCAGCCTGGTCAGTCACCATCGTTGACTGGGGCACAACTATTACTTACTCAGGACAAATTACCTCAGGGTAGCAGACCTGGTTGCTACACAACCTGTAGTCAGTCCTTGTTTACACCAGCAATTACTGAACCGGTTTTGAACTAGTCTGAAGCCCTGCCCAGTTTCTTTAAAAACTGAGGCTAAGAGAGTCTAAGGCTGGTAAACAGCAGCAGAGGGGCATGAATCCTGAACAATGTGGAGCCTCAGTCCCTAACTCTTATGTGATATTCTTGCATGTCTGTTGTTCACACAAAGAAGCCCAAAGCGTTTGCCCAGATTGAAAACATGCCAGGATAGGGTGGGTTTGTTAACACTGATTATTTATTAGATTTCTGCTCTGGACCAGGGCTATGTGCAAATCCCAGGTGTGACCCAGTGAAGACTATCCATGGTTTGCAATCAAGGAAACAAGTGAACTAGGTGTGGCCTAGAACAGGAAATCCAGACAGCTGGCTTGAAACCCCTGTTCATTCTGCTCTGATGCTGAGAGGTCCCCAACCTTCTGCTGAGCAGGTTTGTGGCCAGGATGCAGCATTCAGAGTGGTCAGAACTTCGGGGAATCCTCCAGCTGAGGTTTCAGAGCAAGGAAGTGCCCTACAAAGAAGCTGAGCACCAAGAAATGTACCCAGAAAACAAAACAGAGAATATGACAGGCTCAGAAGGAGAGGATGGAGCGGGAGGCTGGAAGCCAGAGAGCACGGTTCTGAGTATGGTAGAATGATGTCAAAGAATAATGAGGCAGCTGCTTCACCGTCTTTTATTAAAGGAGAAGCCACAGAGAGGAGTGCTGCCAAGCCATCCCCAACAGAAAGGGCTGGCAGGACCCCTGGAGGAGAGCTCTGCTTACCACTGAGGAATCCGAGTCCAGGGACGGGATCTGGTCTTTGATGGTCTCAAGGATGGTGTCCCAGGGATGGCCAGGAAAGGGTACCATATCCCTGGATGCCATGAGCTCACCAGGGGCCTGGCTGCCTCTCAGCACACCATCATCCAAGAAACCCTGCGGAAGGGAAGGCAGGCAGTGAGGCAAGAAGGTATAGGTGACCGAGGGTCAGAAGGATGGGGCTTCTGTTTGAAAGCATCCACCAGACTGCTGCCTCGGTTTCCCCTTCTGGTGCTGCAGGGATCTGACACTTAGTACCAAGGTCTGTGCTTGCACTGCGTGTATGTGCGTGGGCATGTGTGTGCATGAGTATACATGCACACACACATTTTATAGTACAAACCCATTGTCAGTGAGCGCATCCCGATTCACAGCCATACTCTAGGACAGAGTAGAACTGCCCCATAGGGTTTCCAAGGTTGTAATCCTGGTGTGGCACTGTAGGCTAATGCGTCAGACTGCAAAACTGTTTGAACTGCAAGGTTGGTGGATCAAGCTCACCAACTGCTCCTTGGAAACCCTATACAGGGTTGTCATGGGCCGGAATCCACTCGACGGCACTTAACAACATCAATCTTTACAGAAGTAGGCTGCCTCACCTTTCTCCTGTGGACTAGGTGGTAGGTTTGAACCACTGACTTATCGGGTAGCAGCTCAGTGTTTAACCACTATGCCAGCAGGACCCCTTTTATTTATAGAATATAGACATTTAGATGGCGGTTGCTGTTGCTAAGTACTGTTGAGTTGGTACCAGCTCATAGAGACCCTGTATACACCAGAACAAAACTCTGCCCACTCCTGCGCCAATCTCACAATTGTTGCCACACTTGAGCCCATTGCAGCTGCCACTGTGCCAGTCCATCTTATTGGGGTGGGGGTGGGGGGTCTCCCTCATTTCACCGACCCTATACGTATGGTTTTCACTGCAGCAAAAAAGAAGACCCGCATAAGATGGACCGGTATGGTAGCAGCAGCACTGGCCGAATCTGCAGTCAAGAAATGAAGCGACAGTCGGGGTCTGCCCTCGACATAGTTGTCACGAGTGTTTGGTTCACGAGGAGGGGAGATCCAGCGGCGATAGGGATAGCGAAAGAATACACAGACAAACAGAAGAAGGGAGACAATGAGGCACCCCAAAGCCAGGGTGGATCCATCACTGGTGGGCAGGCTTGGGACTACAGGCATCATGGCCTCTGCAGGCAGAAACTCACTGCCCTGCAATCTTTACTGCATGCCTTCCAACCTGTAATGCACCGCAATCTTTACTCCATGCCTTCCAACCAGTAATGC